GCCGCCGCAGTCGCAGCCTTCGCAGCAGCCGCAGCAGCCGTCGCAGACGCGGCAGACGAGTGTTCTCCCGCCAGGGTGGCCCGGCGCTGGCGGTGGACGGGCGCGTGGTGGTGTGCCGCGTGGTGGCTCTGCCGGCGGGCGTTGTCAGTACCAGATCCAGACCGGTCCTCGCCGCGGTTTCGTTTGCGGTAAGATCGGTCACTCCACTCCCCGCTGCTTTCGTCGCCTGGACGACCTCTTTCGTCAGCGTTTCGGCCCGTCGCCAGACCTCCCGGACTGGCACAGTTTGCTTAGTCGTCAGATTCAGATCTTTGATATGGACATGGATGCCATTGTTTCTGCTCTGCATGTGATGTATGCTGATGACTCTAGTGTGCTTCCGACTTATTACTCATTGTTGCCTAGTGTAGGTGTGCCTAGATTAGCCTCCCCTGCTGCGTCAGGCATAGGATCCCCTGCTTTGTGTAGTCTTGGTGCTTCCGCCGTCGTTCCGTCGCCAGACCCCTCGGCTTCGCTTTCCTTCACCTTGGACTCTGGCGCCTCTCGGTGTTTCTTCCGCGACTCCACCACCCTGACGCCGCTTCCTGTTCCTGCTGCCGTTTCTCTTGCTGACCCCTCCGGCGGTCCGGTAGTCGCCCGCAGTTCCACCACCCTTCCCTGTCCGGCGGTTCCTTCGGGCTCTCTTACAGGTCTGCATATCCCCTCGTTCTCCAGGAACCTAGTTGGTGTCGGCTGCCTCCAGGACCTTGGCGTCACCACTACGTTCCCTGGTCACGAGCGGTATGCTGTCTGTACCGAGGCCGCCACTGGTGCCCCCCTGTCCACGTTCCCCCGGGACCCGGTGTCCGGCCTGTTCACTCTGGACACCGTGCCCCCCCCGGCTGGAGCGCCCCCTCAGGTGGCTGTGTCTACCCAGGTTGCTGCTGCCTGCTCCTGTCGCTCCCTCACTCACCCGACCCTCCTGTGGCACCACCGCCTAGGTCACCCTGCGCTCCCGCGTCTGTGTCACATGTCCCAGCACGGTCTTGTCCTTGATCTCCCAGGTTCACTCCCCGCGTTTCCCTCCTCCCCAGCTCCACCTTGCACGCCTTGTGTCGAGGGTCGGCTTCGCCGTGCCCCTCACTCCTCCTCGTTCCCCCCTACCGCCGCGCCGCTGCAGACCCTGCACCTGGACGTCTGGGGCCCCGCCCCCGTCCCTGGGCCGCGTCGCGAGCGCTACTTCCTTGTGCTTGTCGACGACTTCACTCGTTACACCACAGTCTTTCCCCTGGAGCGCAAGGCCGACGTGCCTGGCGCCCTCATCCCCTGGCTTGTCTCTGCGCGTGTCCACCGCGGTCTCCCTGTCTTGCGTCTTCACTCAGACCGTGGTGGCGAGTTTGCCTCAGGTGTCCTTGGTCGCTTTTGTCGTGCGGAGGGCATCACCCAGACGTTCACCCTACCGGACTCCCCACAGCAGAATGGGGTCGCTGAGCGACGCATCGGCTTGGTCATGGAGGTCGCTCGCACCTCCATGGTCCATGCCGGTGCACCCCATTTTCTGTGGCCGTTCGCTGTGCGCTACGCTTCTCACCAGCTTAACCTGTGGCCGCACCCTCAGCAGCCGCAGGTTTCGCCGACCCGTCTGTGGACTGGGTCTCCTGGTGACGCGTCTGCGTTCCACGTCTGGGGCTGCCTTGCTCACGTCCGTGCCTCCGGCACGGACAAGCTCACTGCCCGCACCCTTCCCTGCGTCTTCCTCGGTTTTCCCCTTGACGCGTCCGACTGGCACTTTTACCACCCGCCGTCTCACCGCTTCTTTCACTCTCGTGACGTCACCTTTGACGAGTCCGTCTCCTACTACCGCCGCTTCCCCCACCGTGGTCCCCCGGTTACCCCCCCCCTGTTCCTGGTCACCCCTTCCCCGTTAGTCCCTGCCCCTCCTCCTCCTCCTCCCCGTCCCGCCCCCTCTGGTGTCTCCCATGTCACCCCCCTTCCGTCCGTGGACCCGGTTGAGGAGTCTTCTGACTCTGGTGGCCCTCCGGTGCAGTCCTCGCCGGCCGCCCCTCCCCAGGTGTCCCCTCCCCAGTCCCCTCCTGCGCCGTCCCTGCCGCCACTGCAGCCGTCGCCGTTGCCGCCGCCGCCGCCGCCGCCGCAGTCGCAGCCCCCGTTCGCTGACTCTGGGGGTGCTCGTCCCGGTCGCCCTGAGGGTGGTCCCTCTGGGGGTGCGGGTGTGGAGAGTGCCTGTGGTAGCCGAGGAGCAGCTTCTGGTCCAGGTGTCGCCGTTGTGCTGCCGCAGCAGCAGTCCCAGCCGGTGTCCGCCCTTCGCCTGCTCGACCTTCCGTCCCCCGACCCTGCGTCGGTTCCTCCCCGACCGTCTCCTCCTCTTCCTGTCTACGGCCCTGTTTTCCCTCCGCCGGACTCGTCCCCGGCCCGTCTCCCCCCTCGTTCCCCTCCTGTGTCCCCTCCTCTGTCTCCTGACCCGACTCCTCCATCGCACGTCTGGTCTCACCGTCCCTCCCGTGCTCGTCCTGCCTCGCCTGTCCTGCGCTCCCACCCTATGTTGCTTCGTTCACACGCGTCTCGTCCTCCCCTTCTGCCGTCGCCTCCTCCGTCCTCCCTTGTTGTTGCGCCCCCCCCGCTGTCCGACTACCTTCGTGCCGCTCGTCCTCTCGTTCCTCGGGTCCTTGCCTCTCTCGTTACCGACCCGTCTGTTCCAGTCTCGTGCCTTGACGCTCTTGTCGCTGCTGTCGCTGACTTCGCCTCTACCCGCCGCCTTGACTACGCCACCGCTCTGGTCTCTGACCCTGCCTGTCCTCCGTCTATCGGGGGTGCTCCTGCCCTTGGCAGTGACGTCCTGGAGGACCGCCAGTTCGAGCTTGCTTTCCTCTCCGAGGCTGCTCCCCATCTCTGTTCCATGCTGCTAGTCCCTGAGGGTGACCCAGACGCTTTCGACATCCCGACCCCTCGCACTTACGCTGAGGCGACTTCGGGACCCTGGGCCTCGCAGTGGATAGCTGCCATGGAGCAGGAGATGGCATCTTGGAGATCCACCGGCACCTTCGTCGACGCAGTTCCCCCACCTGGGGTGAACGTAGTCGATGGCCGCTGGCTCTTCAAGGTGAAGCGCCCTCCTGGAGAGCCGCCTGTCTTCAAGGCGCGCTATGTGGCTAGAGGCTTCAGTCAGCGCGAGGGGGTGGACTTCTTCCAGACTTTCGCTCCGACCCCGAAGATGACTACTCTTCGGGTTCTGTTACACCTAGCTGCTCAGCGTGACTACGAGCTTCACTCCCTCGACTTCTCCACTGCCTTCCTTCAGGGCAGCCTACACGAGCAGGTCTACCTGCGCCGCCCTCCGGGCTTTACTGGCACCTTCCCTCCTAGGACCCAGTGGCTCCTGCGGCGCCCCGTCTACGGCCTGCGCCAGGCTCCCCGTGAGTGGCACGACACTCTGCGTGCTACGCTTGCTGACCTGCAGTTCTTTCTGTCTTCTGCAGACCCTTCACTCTTCGTTCGTGCTGGCCAGACTCCGTTCTACATCCTCGTTTACGTCGACGACCTGGTCTTTGCCACAGCAGACAGGGACGCGCTGGCCTTCGTGAAGGCAGAGCTGCTGAAGAGACACACCTGCACTGACCTTGGAGAACTGCGCCGTTACCTTGGCTTGCAGATCTCCAGGGACAGAGCTGCGCGCACCATCACCCTGACTCAGTCACACTTGGTGCGCCAGGTCCTTCAGAGGTTCAGCCTTCAGTTCTCCTCTGCACAGCCCACCCCTCTGCCTGTAGACCACAGGCTCTCCGCTCCAGTGCCTGAGGAGTTGGTAGAGCCCAGCGGCCCCTACGCAGAGCTGGTGGGTTGCCTCATGTACCTGATGACTTGCACTCGCCCAGATCTCGCATACCCTCTCAGCATGCTGGCTCGCTTTGTGGCCACAGGCAGACACTGACCGCAGCACTGGTCTGCCGCTAAGAGGGTTCTGCGTTATCTTGCTAGTACATCGGGCATGGGGTTAGTGCTAGGAGGACGCATGCCAGCGGTCCTTACTGGGCACACAGACGCTTCGTGGGCAGACGACGCTGAGACACTCCGGTCTACCCAGGGCTACTGCTTCAGCCTTGGCTCAGGTGCCGTCTCGTGGAGAGCTACTCGCTCCTCGTCTGTTGCACAGTCCAGCTGTGAGGCTGAGATCTACGCCGGTGCCATGGCGGCTCAGGAGCTCCGCTGGCTAACCTTCTTGCTCACTGACTTAGGTGAGCGACCTAGCTCTGCCCCGGTCCTGTTCGCTGACAACAGGGCCATGATCCTCCTGTGTCAGGAGCCTCGACTCGAGGGCAGAGCGAAGCACATTCAGCTGCGGTACTTCCTCCTGCGTGAGCTACAGCAGCGACGTCAGGCTCGCGTAGTACACTTGGCCTCAGGTGCCAACACGGCTGATATCTTTACGAAGGCGCTTGCGCCTAAAGATCATCAGCGGCACTGTGTACAGCTTGGTCTAGTTCCTGTAGCCTCTCACTTGCTAGGACCTTGACTTTGTACTGTCCTTTATATGTATACTCAGACTGGACTTGTGTCCTCTCCCAGTGGCTGGACTAGTAGTGCCGCCCTGCTCTTATGCTTGCCTTGTCTGTACTCCTTCTGACCGGTCGCTCAGACCCTTGCCTCAGAGGTTGGACTAGTAGTGCCGCCCTGAGCTGCTTGTTTAGGGTATTCCCCTATGCAGTCTAGGGGGTGTGTCAAACATGTGTATTTGTCATGTTTGTATAGACTGTATAGAGTCACCTCTTAGAGGATACAAAACTTAGATATATTTGTGTGTACTCTCACTTTACCAATTATTCAATTATTCTGATAAGACATACCCATGTCACTTGCTATGATGCAACCACCAATAATGGAAAACAGCTCAATTGGTAGCAGCGAGCAGGCCTTACCAGTGAATTACGGCAGCGTGAACTCTCGCCACATACAGTACTGCTGCTCAGATTATGAACACCTGGCTGCAATCTCCAATGGAGGTGGGAGCCACATGTTTTGTCAAATAAGGAAGAAGCTGTGTACAATGCGTGTTGTGTGTATCTGTGGCTTGCCTCAGCATAGTTAAGCGGGATTTTTTCCGTGGTGCAAATCTCATACAGTGAGGGTCCCAAATCCAACCTCGTATCTTGTCACTAAATTGTGCACTGACGTGCGACATCTACCCTGGGTAGATGGGCGGAGGGGGCACCACCTGGTTCCTTCCTGGAACCATGAAGGTCCCTAGGAGCTCAAAGGTCCCCAGGAGCTCTATCGCTTGGCGACGACCCAGGAGAGGACGACGAGGAGGGTGGTGCGGGTGCCGATGAAGATGATGAGGAAGAAGGAGCGGCGCCAGCAGCAGCTTCAATGAGGGCTTCATCTGCAGCCTGTCGCATGGCGGCCTCATCAGGAATGCCATCTGGGAAAAGCGCGAGGTCCACTGCGGTGTAGAGGAAGGAGATGTAGCGCCACCACTCCTCCTTGCCGCCGCCTATCTGCCGCACCAGCTGCTCCCGCCCCGGCTCGTAGATTGGCAGCCCCACCTCCTTGCGCCTGCAGGTAGAGCAGACGAATTTTGCAAGCATCAGGGGTGGGGAGTGAGAGGGGGGGGACAAAGGGAGGGGGGTTGGGAATTGTGAAGGAGAGCGGGCAAACGAGGGACGTGGGGAGGTGGACTTGCAAGAGGCAGTACGGAGATGGCGAAAGCAGCAAGGACGAAAGCAAGATGCGGGGGTGGTTACTTTCTGACTGCAATCCCTTATGACTGCCAGCCGTTAATGCTACCACCCTTCCTGTGTGCCCCCTGCTCTACCCCTCCCAATTGCCCCCCTGCCCTCCCACCCCTTCTGCTCACGCTGCTCTGTCGCGTGCAACTGCATCTCGCTCAGCCTGCAGGCGCTGCTCGTGCACCGCTGCCAGCGACGCCCGCAGCACGTCGTGGCGCGACGCAGGCGCGTCCACCACCTCGCCCCGCGCTGCTGCCGCCGCCTCCTCCTCGTCCCACTGGCGCGGGGCGGATGGATGGGGGTGAAGATAGGGAGGGCAGGTGTCACAGAAAGAAAGAGGTAGAGGGCAGATGGAAAGGGAAAAAGGGCGCGACGGGACGACGAGGAGAATCAGTCTGATGTGATGTGATGCATGCATGCTGCCACCGTGCCACGTGCATTTTTCAGAGGCAGCTCAAGAATAGACTCCCACGTGTTGCTGCACACTCTCACGCGTTCATTTCATGCGTGCATGTCCCCGCCCCTACCTTGAGCTCCTCCTCTGCTGCTGCTAGATCCACCAGAGCTGCATCTGCAAGCTGCCCCACCGCGAGCAGAGTATGGGGAGGAAGGGAGGGAGGGGCGGACAGAGGGACAGAGGAGAGGCAGGTAAGTGAGGGGAACAGGGCACAAACGTGAATAGATGACAATGCGGCGGCACATAATGATTAGCCCCACAACCATCCCCAAAACACACAACGTGATAGCCATCCCCACAACCCATCCCCATGCCATCCATGCCATCCACGCCAACCATGGCCCCCGGCGCACTACCTCTGGCAGCATGAGAGCGACGTCATCATGTCCCACTGTCTCCCCCCTCCGCACTCTCTGCACCAGCATGCGCTCCGCTCCCTGTATGCGCTCAACCTGGCGGAAGCAGGGGAAGGGGGGGAGGAGGAACGGGGAGGAAGGTGGGAGACAGGGCGTGGGGGAGGGGGAGGGCTTAGAAGTGCGCACACCTACAAGGATCAGAAGCAGCTCACATGTGGGATGAAGGGATGCCAGGCCTCACACGTCCTGTGCTGCTCTCCTATTCTGAGTTGACTCATCTCATGAGTCTCAGAAGCCACTCTGGTGTGAAGCTACTCAGAAGCAACTCAAAAGCTACTCAGCAGGCAGTGAGCGGGCAGTGAGCAGGCACTGACGTGTTGGATGTAGGGGTGCCTGAGGTCCTCGTCCCGCTGCTCCGACTCCTCCACGAACAGCCGCTCCCACCGGTTCGGGAAGAACGCCCGCTTCACAAACGGCAGCTTCGGCCGCCGCACCTCCACCTGGGGGCATGGCGAAAGGAGGGAAAGGAGAGCAAGGTGGAGGTAAGAGAAAGAGAAAAAGAAGAATAAAGCAATTGCAGTGGGACAGCAAGAACTGACGTCAGCAGCAGGGACAGGAGGAAACGGACAAAAAGGGAGTGGAGAAGAGAGGAAGAGTAGGAGGCTGGTGGTGGTGGGGTGAGGGACGACTCACGGCGAGTTCATTGAGGTTGAAGTCGCCATCACGGGAGAAGATAGGCGCATGAGGGGGGTAGCGCTGGCGGCGATAGCTGGGGAGACGACAGGGGGGGAGAGGAGGGAAGAGAGAAAGAGACAGAGGTCAGATGGGGCGCAGGAGGGAGTGGATAGGCGATAAAAGGTTGCAGGGGGTAGGCCTGGGGGCATGCTATGGGCTCACATCATGCTATGGGCTCACATCATGCTATGGGCTCACATCATGCTATGGGCTCACATCATGCTATGGGCTCACATCATGTCATCCACGTCGGGGTTGAGCAGGCGCAGCTCGATGGGGAAGCGGAACCGGAAGGGGTCTCGCTTGGCCTGCCCATGGGGTGGTGGGGGGAGGGATGGGCGCATGAGAGAGGATGTGGATAGGTGAGGATTGGGATGCATGGAGCCAGCCAGTGAGAATGGGGCAGTGGAGATCAGAAGCTGTGACCTTAACTGCTAGAGCGCGTGCATGGGTCTGTGCATGTCTGTGCATGTCTGTGCATGTCTGTGCATGTCTGTGCATGTCTGTGCATGTCTGTGCATGTCTGTGCATGTCTGTGCATGTCTGTGCATGTCTATGCATGCGCGCATGTGTGCACGTGCGCCTGGCATGACCCACCATGACTTCCACCAGCACTGGCGTTCCGATGTTGAGCAATTTGCGCAGGTCGTACCAGTCGTCGTTGTAGATGGGCACCCACCTGCACGCACAGGGAGAGCAGGGGGGACGAGGGGGGAAGGACCGGGAAAGGATGGGGGGAGGAGGGTGAGAGGAGGGGGAGAGGAGGAGGAGAGGAGGGGGGAGAGGAGGGGGGAGAGGAGGGGGGAGGTGCAAAAGCAAGGAGCAGAGAGGAGGAACAGACGGTGGTGCAGAGGTTGAGACGGGGCATGGAGGTGGAATAGACAGGGGGGCATGGAGGCAGCAAAGAGGTATGCGTTGACATGTGGTGGCATGGTGGTGGCATGGTGGTGGCATGGTGGTGGCATGGCGGTGGCATGTGGTGGCATGGTTGTGGCATGGTGGTGGCATGGTGGTGGCATGGCGGTGGCATGTGGTGGCATGGTGGTGGCATGGTGGTGGCATGGTGGCATGTGTGTGAGGTGGCACAGGGGCTGCGCACCCATCATGCACGGCGCCGATGTCAATGAAGCAGCCCTCGTTCAGGTTGATGGTTGTCACCCGCCCCGCATACACCTGCCCCGCCTCCACGTACGGTAGCTCGTACTGCCAGGGGGGGGGGAGGAGGGGGAGAGTGTGGTACGCGTGTGTGTTGTGATCTTGCAAAAGAGAAAGAGGATATGAGAAGGGGCGGGGGGGGGGGGGAGAGAGAGCAGGCAGATGGGGAGGAAAGCGAGGGAGGAGAGGAAATTGGGAGAGGCAAGTGGAAGTAAGGAGGACGGGCGAAGAGGACAGGCGAAGAGGGGGGGCGACGGGCACAAACACGGGCACGTGCATTGAGCAAGGGTCTGATGTGAGTGGATGATAAGTCGCTTTACGCAAGGGAAACAAGAAGGGAGGAAGAGAGGGAGGAGGGGCACATACGAGTCCTGGGCGGAACTTGTTTCTGGTCTTCCTGCGCCCTGGGAAGTAGATGGGATCCGCCTGGAGTCACGTGAGGTGTGAGACCATACACCCATACACCCATACACCCATACACCCATACACCCATACACCCATACACCCATACACCCATACAGCACCCATGTACCATCCATGTAATACCATAAATCCATTCAGAACAGAACACCTCCCCCCCACGCGCCCCCACCCCCCAAAAGGCGCACACGCATGGCAATGTGCACACGAACGGGATACATGAGCTTCGACAGGAGGTCGCAGGGACAAGAACACAATGAGATGGATGGCAGCGCATGGCATGGCGTGGCGTGGCGTGGCGTGGGATGGCAATGCAATGCAATGCAATGCAGGGCTCACAATGCCGGCTTCCTCATCCAAGACGCCCTTGTTGGCTTCCACCCATGCCTCATACTGCTTCATAAACACACCCCATCGCTCCTCCCTCACCCTCTCCTCCTCCTTCTCTCCCCCCCTCACTCCCCCTGCCGCCCCGTGAATCACTGCCAGCTCATCCGCGTCCACCTGCCAGCCTGGCGGCGGCCAATCACGGGGCGGGCGACGCGTCAGCATGGGGAACTTCCCTGGCCGCCACCCTGTCCACTTGCTGCTCCGCGCACGCCGCATGCTGCCGCCACTACTGTTGCTCTCACCAGCACCACCATCGGCACCAGCACCAGCAGCACCGGCAGCACCAGCAGCAGCAGCATTTGCATCAGCGTCAGCGTCAGCGCCCTTGGGCAGGGTGGTCCGCCCCTGCAGCACCCGCATCACCGATTCCCCCATCATCTCTCGCAACCGCTCCTCCATCCTCCCCCGCTCCTCCTCACTCACCTCCCCGCCCTCCCCCTCCCCTTCCCCCTCCCCTCCCCCCAATCCCCCGCCCCCCTGCGTGTCCTGCACCCCCACGGCCCCGCCCACATCAACCACCCCCTCGTCCCCTCCGCCCAGCAGCCCCCCCGCGCCTGTTCCCCCCTTGAGTCTCCGCTCATTGGCCTCGCGGATGCCCCGCGGAGTCAGCTGGTCCATCCACTGCTCCCCCACAAACGTCTCCTCCTTCCCCTCAACCACCGACTCCAGCGCAAACTCCATCTCGGGACTCATCGCCGTTTCATAAACCCTAAACCACCCGTCCAGCTCCCAGCGGCGCAGCATTTCTACAACCTCCCAGAGGGTTTTGCCGTCCAGACGGCCGTCGCGCTGCCAGTAGCGCGCGCTGGTGGTCCACCACTCGCGCAGAGATTCGAACTCTTCCGACGAGATCTGCTCCTCCGTCGCGCCGCTAGTGCGCCAGAAGCGCACCACGTCATCCCACTGCCACGACATCATGTACCGCAGATCGCCCTCCCACGACTTGCACTCCTCACCGACGCCGTCGCCGCCGCCGCCGCTGTCGCTCTCGCTGCTCCCACTGCTGCTGCTGTTGCTGCCCTCCCCCTTGCCGGCCTCCGCCTCTGCGGCAGGCGCAGACGGCGATTTCTCCGCTTCCGCCGATTCTCCGCCTCCGTCTGCTCCCTCGCCATCAGCGGCAGCCACAGCCTCCCGCCGGGGTCTTTCTCTGCGCCAGTGCGCTCCGCTGCGGCGGAAGGATGGGCGGAACATCCCCGCTTGGCGCAGGCCGGGGAGGCGCACTTGCTTCGTTGCGGCAGCAGTCGTGATTCGATTCGGCCGACACGTCAGCGCCATCGGCGCGGCACATCCGCGCGACGCCAGCATTTGTATTGATGACGTCATGCTTCGGATGACGGCACCTTCACCCCACGGCCAGGCGCAAGGGCCAGAGGACGAGGTTGCGCAGGGGCGGGAGAGCGTGAGAAGAGAGGAGACCGGAGAGAAGACGCGAACGGCTGGTCAAGGCCGAAAACCTCCTACGACGTATTACCGTACTGCTGTCTCTCGGTCATGCGGCAACCCGCGAGGTGTCAGATCAGTTGGCATAGGAGTCCCTCGAGAGTGCGAGTGCGGGTGTTGTCGAGTCGAGAGTCGGGGTTTAGCTGGGAAGAAGCGCGGGTGGGGCAGGTGGAGGATGTGGTGTGGTGGGCTGGTTGGGGCAAATGGTGACTCGATTGTGTAGAAGCCGTTTGCTTCGAAATTGAAAACGCTCAGGGCTTACAGCATAATAAGTATTTTAGAAGTGAGCCAGCCAAGCCAAATCCCTTGTGCACAAGCTGGAAGGAAGCCTCCATACCATACAAACATAGCAGTTGAAGGAACGTACATGTCATGTACCCGAAAAACAAGGTTGTTGCTGGAATAGCAAACGAGACGACATCATTTCCTATGCCCATTACATCCCAGCTTGCCGCCACCGCCCACAGCCAATAATAATACAAACCTAACCACCACTGATTTCCATCCATCCATAAATTAGCCGCTATCATCATTCCGTGAGATTTTTCCAAGAGCGAACTACACTGCAATCCACGTGTTAGCTTGCGTGCCAGCCAGGCTGCTACCACCTGTCCCTGCGTCTCACCATCCATCCCATCCCCTCATCCCCCTCCCCACCCCACTTTCCCCTCTCACCACGTCCCATCCCATCCCTCGCTCCACCCCTTGGCCATCATCATCAGCATCATCTCTTCTTGGGCCCAGACCCAGAGCCACTGTTGGGCCGGTAGCACGACATGATGGATCCCAGGAGGCCCAGCGTTCTCCCCTGCCGGCTCTGCAGCAGCAGATCCCCCTCCTCCTCCTCCTCCTCTAACACCTCCCCCAGCAGCCCCCCCGGCCCGCGCTGCTGCTGCTCCTGCTGGAGCTGGCTCACCTGCTTCTGTGCCACGGCGGGCCCGCCCAGCCCAATCACGAGGCCCGGGACTATGGACACCGGCGCGGAGGGAGGGTCGGTGTATGTGCGCACCTTGAGGTCCTTGCCCTGGCGTGGGGGAGAGAGAGGTGGTGGGATGAACGGTTTTAGAGTCTGGAAACAGATGAAGTGGTTTCGTGGGTTGTGGTTGGCGGAAGGTGAGATGCTTGGTGGCCTGCATGCATAGGCGGGGCACATGAGAGGATGCAGCAACGACACAGCAAGCACATGCCGTGCCAAGGAGGCACAGGGGCACGGCGCAGCAGGGAGAGGAGGAAGAGGCTGGAAGATGCAAGAGCAGGAACCATGGGTGCAGGCTTGAGAGGTTGGGAGCGTGGTTTGATAATGGAGAGAGAAAGGGGGTGGGGAGAGAAGGCTGGAGGGGATGGTAAAGGGGAAGCGGGTATTGGGGGGGGGTTGGGGAACGGAAGGGAGGGAGCACCTGTATGCGGTCATGCTGCAGGGCGTCGTAGCTGGCGCGGTTGGTTTCAAAGAGCACCATGCGCGTGAAGTGGCTGGGCACACACACTGTCTGACTCATGCGCGCCACCTGGTGGAGTGGAGAGAAGGGGCACCGCGCGCGCGGGGACATTGCGAGGGCGCGTTGCGAGGGGGCACGAAGGGATTGGGGAAACGCGAGTTGGGTGGGTGGGGGAGATCGGGGAGGGAGAAGAACGAGCACGGGGATGGAAGATGGCAGGTGAACAAGTGAAGAATGGTAGAGAACAGGACGACGCATTACGCACGGGAACTCTACAAACTGCAATGCTGCAGTCAAGCGCTGCAATGCTGTAGTAACCCTACAAGCTGCACTTGATCCCCATACATATCCTATGCCCCATGTCACCGTACCCAAACCCCACCCACTGTCATACACAGCACTTTAGTACAAATCACTCCATAAAAAAGCCATGCATCCTAAGGTCACAGGCACATGGCACCGTAAATCCGAAATGCTTCGTGCTGCTCACCCCTCGCTCGAGGTCGGGGTCCCGTTGCAGCCATGCGTCCGCTGTCATGAGGTCCGTGTGCTCCCGTATGCCCACCTGGTGGCGGTGATGAGGGCGAAGGGGGGAGGAAACAGGGAATGAGGCTGCAGTGCGGAAGCATGTGAGTAAGACATGCTGCGCGCACAGAGTTGCAGCATGCACCAACTGGCATGCAACTCACCCGCAAGCAAGCTACATCACATCACATCACAGCATGCCGCATAGCCCAACCCACGGCCTACCGTGGACAGCGGCAGCAAACATACGAACAACAAAAACAACGAATACCCAAACATACAAACAACCAAACATACGAACACCCAAACATACAAACAACAAAACATACGAACACCCAAACATACAAACACCCAAACATACAAACAACCAAACATACGAACACCCAAACATACAAACAACCAAACATACGAACACCCAAACATACGAACACCCAAACATACAAACAACCAAACATACGAACACCCAAACATACAAACACCCAAACATACGAACACCCAAACATACAAACACCCAAACATACAAAAACCCAAACATACAAACACCCAAACATACAAACAACCAAACATACAAACACCCAAACATACGAGCACCCAAAGCAGGGTGGCAGCCTTCGACCATGGGCGTTTATCACCTGCGGAACATCGTGCACGAAAGTGCAACAAAGCACAATCCAAACTGACAGCGCATGCAGCATGATGCATGGAGCTCCGCTGCACATTCGCCTGTTCACTGTTAATGCTTCGCACTGTTTGCACATCCCATCCCATCACCCACCGTGGACAGCGGCAGCGTGGCAGCCTCGACCACAGGCACTTTGGCCTTCCACGGTGCGCCGTTGGCCCGCACCCCCCGCAGCTCCAGAGCCAGAGGCACATCGCCCTCCAGCCGCCCGGATACCGTCACTGGGCATGCTGCATACAGGTCTGGGATGGGGAAGGGCACCAGCTGGGGGGGGGGAGGAGAAGGGGGGGAGGGGGTGAGGGGGAAGAGGGGAGTGAGAGAGGGTGGAGAGCGGGGGGTTGGGGTGGGGTTGGAGGGATTACAGGAGCCTGAACAGCATCCGGACATGCTGCAATGGGACTGACGGGGCATGCTGGTGCTGGATTCCAGTGAAGGGAAGCGGACAGACAGAGCGGAGGGGGAACAATGGGGTGAAATGCATCATCAGGGTTCAGGGCAAGCAGAGAGGAGAGGCGTGGGAGCGGAGTAGTGAGAGCAGGCAGGCAGGGAAGGCACCTGGAAGCCTGCAGGCATGTCTCGGATGGTGATGTTGGTGATGAGCGGACGAGACACTGCCAGCAGCAGACGCTCCACCTTCTTGCGCACCTCGTCTGCAGGGGGAAGAGAAGGGAGGGGGGAGGGGGGAAGAAAGGTGATTTTTGAGTCGACTCAAAAATCTCGTCTGCGGGGGGAAGAGATGGAAGGGGGGAAGGGGGGACGAAAGGGAGATAGAGGCAGGGGGAGATTGACGGGAGGATAGGGTAAGGCATCGGGAGAGAGGTGGGAGGGGATGAGAAACAGGGGAAGGAAGGGGCTGGCAGGGATGGCATGGAGGAGTCGTCAGGTGTGTTTGTGTGAAGAGGAGGCAACAAAATCGGGCGCAGAGAGAGGAGGGGGGATGGAGGGAAGGGGCGGATGGGGGAGGAGGGTGGGGGCGAGGAGAGGGGGGACTAAGAAAGCGGATGTGTGTGTGCAGCGCAGCGGAGCGGAGCGGAGCGTACCAGCAGTGAAGGCGAATTCAGTGGCGCCTCTGCTGACACCCGCTATCCAACGAAGGAAGTAGTAGCTGCAGCTGGGACCTGGGAGTTGCGTGGGGCATGCACGGGATAGGAAGGCACGGGAACACCAAGGGCACGGCAGCAGAGCAGACACACCATAGTGATTAATGAGAGTGATGAGAGTGCTCGGCAGAGAGAATCGCACCTATGAGCCGAGAAGGTGAGATTCAGGGCAGCAGAGAAGGAGGCAGGCTGAGGGGGCGACGCAGCGCAGCGCAGCACAACACGACTCAGCACAGTGCAAGCGCAGCGTACCGATGCCGCAGGTGAAGATGCGGGGGGCGTTGGGCCCCCACTCGAGCAGCGCCTCCTGCAGGTAGCAGCAGATGGAGCGCTCGTCCTCCACCGCTGCGTCGCTCAGCAGCACTATCTGCGGCAGCATGCCCCGCACGCCCTTCAGCATCTTCAGCGCCTGCCGAGGAGGGCGGGGGGATGGGGAGGGGTGCCATGTGTAATGAGTCGATTTTTGAGTCGACTCATGTTTCTCATGTTGCTCATTACACACGGATGGGGAGGGGTGCCATGGCATGGGGGGGGGCATGGTGCATCAGCGGCATGGCAGGATGGGAGGGGATTCAGTGTGACACATCCCTGCACGCCCTTCAGAATCTTCAGCGCCTGGAGTGGAGGAGGCAATGCCATGGGGGGGGCATAGTGCACCATCAGCATGGTGCAGTGAGAGGAGGGGCGGGAAATCAGAGTGAAGGGAAAGCGATAGAGAAAGTGTGAGAACACCATCAGAGGCCTCCTTCTCCCTGCTTTGATGAACCAGCTGCAGCAGCGACAGTATATTGCACGCCTCATTGGTGTCGTATGCCTGCAGCACGAGCGGCTTTTGAGTCGACCCAAAAGCAGACCCAGACGTACCAGCTGCAGCGGCAAGAGTATGTTGCACGCCTCGTCCGTATCGTGCGCCTGCAGCACAAACTTGATGGCCTTCTTCACCGCCTCGGCGGTGGCGCTCTCCATGGCCTCCTCTCCGGGCTCAGAAGCTTTTCCTCTCCTCCCTCTCTCACACACACAGCACACACCCTCATATAAACACACACACACTCACAAAAACACACACCCTCTCATAAATACACAGCCCTCCTCCTCCTCCCCCTTCCCAAGACCCACCAGCTGCAGCGGCGAGAGTATGTTGCACGCCTCATCAGTGTCATACGCCTGCAGCACGAACTTGCTGGCCTTCTTGACGGCCTCGGCGGTGCCGCTCTCCATGGCCTCGGCGAACACCAGCAGCTCGTAGTCAAACGCGATGATGCCAAAGCTGTCCGCGGGGCTCAGCCGCTTCAGCGCCGCCATCACCGCGCGCCGGGCTTCCTCCATGGCGCGCCCGCGCATGGCGTTGTGGCTGTCGAGGATGAAGACCACTGCGCGCCCGTACACCTGCAGCAGGGGGGGAGGGTGGGGTGGGAAGCGATTGGGGGAGACGACGCGGCGGAGGAATGTGTTCAAGGGTTGTTTGCATGGCGTTGTTGTGGCTGTCGAGGATGAACACCACTGCGCGCCCGTACACCTGCTGCCGGGGGGTTGGGAAGGTGGGGGGGAGAGTGGGAACACAGGGAGAGGGGAGGTGGTTGAAACTTGAAAGATGGAGAGGGTACAAGGGCGCCCCCTTGTGGCTGTCGAGGATGAAGACCACTGCGCGCCCGTACACCTGCCGCTGGGGGAGACAGGAGGGAAATGGTGCCATGGATGGAGCGATGTGGCGTTTGAGGGAGAGTGTGAGAAAAGGGAACATACGAATTTGGCATACATATGATAACAGGGAAGGGGCAGGGGAAGGGGCAGGGGAAGGGGAACAGGAGGTGGGGGGTGGGAGGGGTGGGGAGTAAGCTTGAGGCTGGGCAAGAGGGAGTGAGAAGGTCAAGGTACTGACAGGCAGTTGGCAGGGGTCGGGCGGGCAGACGGAGAGGCAGAAGATGGCTCGTGTGTCGGGATCCTCCTCGTAGGGCGCCTGCACTAGCATGGCCGCTGCCACGTCCTCACACACCACCTGATGCACGGACGCGCGGGTGGAGAGGGAGAGGGAGAGGGAGAGGGAGAGGGCTGGGGCTCACCGACCCAGCAATCGAAGGGCACCCTGCATTCCTCACCAGCGTCACTCAAGCCCACGGCCTCCTGGCCGCCCTCCCAGCGGCGTCAAGAGGACCCCTGGCTGACTCAGTCCAGCACCTCACGCCTCCCTTCACCAGCCCCACTCACTTGCATACCTGGCTGGCGAAATGTGAGACGGCGATGCCCCCGCGGGCCCGGGAGCTCCTGCACTCCGAGCGGAGGGAACCCTCAGGCTCCCCCCTCCAACACCGACTATCCCTCGAAGTCCAGGCCGTGCGATACGCCGACCAGGTGGCGGCCTCACGAACAATGGATCCAAACCCCCACTGCGGGCACACCCAACGACTCTTCTCCCTGGCTGGATACGGAGCAGGAGACTGGCTCCACGCCATCCCCATACTCCCATCCCTCCGCCTCGAGGCTCCACACTTCGCCATTGCCCTGGCCTTCCGCCTCGGCCTTCCGTTCCCAGCCCCTCGCACCTGCAACTGCGCCGAGGAATTCGAAATCCTCGACACCAGGCTCCCCAACCACCTGCTTCGATGTGGCATAGGCCACGGACGGACGGACACCCATAACGCTCTGCGGGACGAGAGCATACGGATGGCCCGAGACGCTGACTTCATAGTCACCAAGGAGACCACCATCTACAGCCCCGTGGACGGCCACAAGGCCGACCTCGCAATCCGCGATCGCAGCTCCGGTGCCGTCTGGATCTGTGACGTCACCGTCACAGACCCCATCAGAGGCCGGGACCCGGATGCACGGAAAGGACGAGGGTACATGGCCCGGGAGCAAGCCGACAAGAAAATCAACCATTACCAGAACCGGGCTCCCTACGTTGGCTTCTTCCCACTGGCGGTCGAGACATATGGCTGCCCCTGCGCCGAGGTCCCTACCTTTTTCAAGCTGCTTGCGGACACAGGCGCCAGGAGACTCTTCAACGCAGACCCAAGTTCCTACCAAGCAGCGAAATTGCTCCACCAGTTTCGCCAACGCTGGTCAGTGACACTACAGCGGGCACAGGCCTTGGCTTACCTGGGCAAGGTCAATGAAGCCTCCCCTGCCCCCCACACCCCCGTGGGCACCCCTAACGCCGATATGGCGCCAGGTGACTGCTTTGCCATAGCCGAGCCCCTAGGGGAGCTCGAGTAGAATCAAGCACCTCAGCATGCACGTACCATGACTTGTTGTCTCCTGCCTGCCTAGCCTGTACCTAGGACTCCGAGCAAATAAACGGACCGCTTGAGAGGGAGAGGGAGAGGGAGAGGGAGAGGGAGAGGGAGAGGGAGGATGGGCGCCCTCATGCTGTGCATGGGGGCAGCTGGCGCCATGATTGTATTGGCCTGGGCTACTGTGGTGTGGTATCCTATGCTCTGGTTTGCCCTTGCTGGTTGGTCGTTTCACCTTTCTAGTTTGTACCCAGGATTCATTCAATGGGCAGGACCGCTAGAGGGAGAGGGCGGGAGGATGGGGAGGGACAATGGAGATGCACTGACGAAAGTAGCTTGTGGCAGGCCCGCCCACGCTTCACATGTGCGTGATATGAAGGAGGGCTTTCACCGTGACAGATGCTGTTGCAGCAGGAAAAGGTGATAGTGGTGGCGGTGGTGGTGGCAGTGGTGGTGGCGGTGGTGGTGGTGCCCGGTGCCGGTGGTGCTACTTGCTGTTGTTCTTCGCCACGTTGAAAAACAGCAGCGTCAGTGTCTGTCTGACTGGCCGATTGACAAATGAGAGTTCTATAACAAACGAGGTGTACGGTGTACCTGGTAGGAGAGGACGAAGTCAGCGTTGGGCCACACGCAGGGCTTGCCATCGGGAGTGGTGCTGGCAGGGAAGCCCGTGAAGGACGCCCGGCCCAGCTCCACAAACATCACCTGCCATGTACACCCCACCATAGGTAACAGAAAAAGGCGGGGGGGGGAGGGGGGGAGAAGAGGGGAGAGGGGGGAGGGGGGAGGGAGTGGTGCAGAAAGAGAGTGGCGGGAAAAGGGGTGGGACCATGGGAGTTGGAGAAATTGGGTTGGTGCAGCAGAGCAGGTAAAAAGAAACCGAAGGTTTGATGCCATAACACATCCCCCTCCCTTTCACAACAATGACGTACCTTCATGGGGTGGTTGAAGTCCCCAACTTTGAGGGGCCGCGTGTGGCCGCTGTTGATGGCGCAGCTAACCTGCACCACCTCCACCAGCTCCAGGTGGCTGGGCACCACGGCATCTGGCACCAGCAGCGGCACCACCACCTCATAGTACCCCGCGCGCACCGCCATCGTCTCCACATACGACACCCGCACCTTCACCTGCGTGCCCTCCTGCACGGCCGGGAGCCTCATTCGGAACATGGCGGGGTTGAAGTCGCCGCCACTCTCCTGGAGCAGCACGCCTGCTCTCTGCAGCCCTTCCCCTGCGCTCCCCAGCAGGGAGAAGTCCACCGCGCCTTTCCCGCCCAGCAGCCCCCCGCTTTGGTCTGTGAGGTCCAGGCTTCCGCTTGACCCGTTTGCGGTTGACTTGCCACTGCTCAGCCGCTTCAGTAGGCCCCCGCCGCTGCCCCTCTCCCCCCCCCCTCCGCTTCCCCCGAGGGACACCCCGGAGCCTAGCCGACCAGAGCCCACGCGGGCAAGGAAGTTAGAGACAGAGGAGGAAGAGGAGGAGGAGGAGGAGGTGGAGGATGTGTGGTGGTGGTGAGGGGAGGGGTCGTGGTGGTGGGGGTGGGGGTGGGCGGATGAGGCGGCTGCTGATTCTGCTTCTTCTTTGGTTACAATGGCCGTGGTGAAGAAATGGGAGTCGGTGGTAACCACCTCGACGGATGACACGCTCACCTTGTGGTTGATGGGCAGCGCGAACAGCCACTCGCAACGTGGCGCAATGCCATTGGAGGAGACGGTCCACGTGCCTTCTAGCGTGACCACTGCTGTGTTCAGCAAGCACTCCACTGCTAGTGATAATGACGACATCTGCGCCCGTAATACCGCCGCCCTTTCCGCTCCTCCTAACCCTCCTCCTCCGCCTCCCGCTCTCCTCCCACTGCCCCCTCCATCGCTACTTAAATCCCACGACTGCTTGGCGGATCTACCGCTCCCCCCTCCGAAACTTAGATTGCCTTCACCCAGTCCTCTTAGAGACCCCGCTGATCCTACACTCCCTCCTCCCCCGACCGCTCCCCCGCCAACAGCGGCATCAGTGGAGCGTGGGGAGCCGGCGGAAGCTCCCCCCGCCGCAGCAGCTGCTGCAGTGGCGGCGGCTGCGGCAGCGGTGGCGGCGGCGTTGGCAGCAGCGGCTTCTTCTAGACTCGCTTCGTCTATTATCGCGTATACCATGGGACACGTGGGCAGCAGCTGCTGCGCCTCGTCCGGCTGCCGCCGCGACTTGGCGCGCTGCAGCAACGTCTGGGAGTCCATAGTTTAGGGCGGCTCAGGCAGAAGCACAAACTAGGACGGAAGGCTGCAGCCTTTGACCGATTTAGGGCGCGTCGAAAGAAATGCCAATGGCGGGATGTGATTGGTGTGGAGAGCTACGCGATTCGGGCCTGAGAAACGCCGATTAGGTCTGAGTGTGCGGGAGGTTGCTGAATGGACAGCCCGAATGGGCGAGGGTGGCCAGTTAGACTGGACGGATAGCGAGGGCGAGGAAAACCCCCAGTGGTGACGCCTTTATGCAGGCCACGCCCCTCTGCGATGCGACACGCGGTTTAATAAATGCGTTTTAAGGAATGCGCCGATAGAAACGCCTCTGCCCGGCGATAAGGTGTTACTACCAATGCGGACGCGTGTCAATCGCCGCTACCCGCACCCGCATCGTGTCTCCATGTCGAGCCGTGCTACAAGCGTCCCATAAATAACGACTCCCCGCGCTGGTGTCTTCTCTACCCCGCTTTCCTCTATTCCTCGACACCACCACGAGCAACTCCTCGCTTTCTGACGCGTTTCTGGCGAAAAAAAGGTTGCTAATGTTTTTTTATCTACAGCTGTTTCCTCTAAAGTAGCCTCCAAGAGCTCGCCCTGATCACCGATACACGGCTTCCTTGGTACTAATGACGACCTGCCCCAGAATAACTCGAAACTTCTTATGTCATCCTAGGGACAACTGCGACCCCAGCCGTCCAGCGAGACTAGTCTCCGTCCTATGCCCGCCAGAACAACTGTGTTCCGCAGAATCCCCGCGTCAAAAGCTAGTTTTCTGGTAGCAGCGTTGGCTGCAGTGTGTTGGTCTTAGTGCATGTGCAGTGTTCTGTGGCTCCTAAGAACCGTCCACCAGTCTCCAGTGGGATAGGATGAGGATGTGTACGAAACAGACTCTAACCATCAGAGAAGCATTTGCTCCAGCTGTGTCGTTTGATAGATGGGAAGGAAATGAGAAAAGTTCCTCTCGGGTATTGTTTTGTGAGTGTCGCTCGCTGGGCTGTGCGACTTGCAAGGCGACAGAGTTGGTGCACCCAGTTCGCTTCACAGCTGTTACTAACGCTCGCCTTGAAATCTGGCTCCCAGAAGACATCGCTTCGCCAACATCGTCCAAGGGCTGTGATACTAGAAGGCACATCCTGGCCGTCTAGATTAGGGTGTGCGATGAACGGACGGCCAAGGCGGGCCGCCTGATACTGCCTGAAGTGCTGATTTGGTCCAGGTTTGGTCGTTTGATCCAAGGGGTCTTCCCGCAATGATGGGAAATGGCGGTAACGATCCGTCGATCTGGGCGGAAAGTGGCATGGTTTGGCAGCGACTTTCGTGGTGGATGCTCGCCAGTTCGCAAATATGTACACTGCTTTATACAGTGGAAATATAAATGTGAGCCTTCGTATAAAGTAACATGCAAATAGTTATGTAGTTTATTAGATGAATCGCCATGGAAGGTCTGCATTTTTATTTTCCCTTCCCTCGCATCACCAACACGCCATTCCAATTCCAGATTGCTCGTCGCGAGAGGTACTCCAGGGAGTGTTCGTAACTAGTGTTTTGCGCGCCGTCCGCGCTTGAAGCAGAGACACAGCAACGGGGAACAGAGCTGCGTGCATCGAGGATGGCGACAGCCGCTATCGCAGCCATGTCGTGCGTCCCTTACAGTCTTCGCCAGCCAGGTGCGCAGCGCTGGGCAGAACATCAGTCATTGTGCCACCGCGAGCTGTCCGCCCTCTGGTCCCGTGACCCGTCCCGTAACCGCAGCGATCTTCCTCCGCGTAGCCCCTGATGACTTGAATGCATGCCACCTCGTGAATTCTCTTCCATGATTCGTCCTCCACTATAACGCTCCCCGCACCCATGACTTTGCCTTCCTCTTTTCCCACTGTCCTCGCGTCTTTCGCGCGAACCCCCCATCATCCCGCCCTGCAGCGCTCCCACTAGCTGTTCGAGGACCCGCAGGGATCAGTGCCGCGCAACGGCACGCACAGCCACTTGGGAGTTTCAGAACACAGGTGAAAGGAGCGGGTTTTCTACTGGAACAGCAGCAACGGCAGCAGCAGCAGCAGCAGCAGCAGAAGCGGCGACAGCAGCAGTGGCGGGAGCAGGGGATGGGTCGTTGTGGTGTGTGGCGGGCAGCAGTGTCAGACGAGCATAGCCATGCTGATACCAGCGATTCAAGCTACAAGGCGACCCTAGACTCATCATCCTCCACCTCCTCATCGTCATCATCATTGCTTTCCTCACAATCACAATCACAATCACAATCACAGTCGTCATCAGCATCATCATCAGCAGCATCAGCACCAGCAGCATCAGATTCCGTGTCGTCTTCATCGTCCCAGGAGGGCGAGGCAGCAGCAGGGCCCATTGTGATCGAGTGTGCGAGCATGGAAGCAGTGTACGATTCCCTTGCTCGCAGACTCCTGGCTGCCGCGCACGCCACTACGCCCCCCAACAAGTGAGCCTGCCCTGCACTGCCCTGCACTGCCCTGCCCTGCACTGCACTGCACTGCACTGCACTGCACTGCCCTGCACTGCACTTCCCTGCACTGCACTGCACTGCACTGCACTGCCCCACATGCATCACTTCCTCCACTCCACTCTATCCAAACCCCGCCCTGGTCCGGTCTTA